CCCGACCTCGCTCCAGCTGCTCCAGCTGAATCTGAGCCTGCTGAGACTGAGCCTGCTCGAGACTGAGCCTGCTGAACCGAGCCTGCTGAACCGAGCCTGCTCCGGCTCCAACTGCTCCAGCTGAGTCTAACCCTGCTCCGGCTCCTGGCGCTCCGGCCAAGTCTCCTACACCGCCTCTGTTCACTGGTGCTGCTTCGCAGGTCAGCCAGCCCGTTGCGGGTCTCCTGGCGGCCTTCATGGGAGCCATGGCTCTTTTGTGAAACGTCTATGAAGGTGGCTTGATAAGGGGGAGAAGAAAAAAGAAAAATGAGTTTTCCGCAAATGTACTTGCTGTTGCTACATCCCGATTGCTAATAATGTCGAGGGAATCAATCAAAGTTCTGTATTTTTTTTTCTTTTCCTTTTTTGGACAGTGTCCCAGACAATAATAACCGCAAGAGAGAATGCTGAACCAGGACTCTCATCCGCCGGAAGCTGTTTAATTTTGGACCTGTTTAGAGTCTTTTTTAATCAAGAAGAAGTACCTGCTAACAAAGTAATTAGAATAATAAGAAAAAAACAAAAGTTGAATTGTGTTTTACAATATTTGCAATTACTGTATTGTCATGCCGGATAATTTCGAATATTGTTCGGCTTGGAGTCATTGTTGGAATATCATAGATAGATAAGATAGTAGAACCGCCTAGTAATGACTCATTTTGAACAAAATTCATTTTTCTTTGAGTCATTTTAGGGTTTAGAAGGTCATGTCGATCTTCTTATCTAACCAGCATTACAGTACAGCGAGAATACCTTCTAGTAAAGATTCTTAGTCTCCACACTCAGCATTATTTTAATAGCAAACAACACGATATGTACGTTCAGCCGCAGATGCAGACCTTCGCTCGGGGTTCATTCACCCCGCCGCAAGCAGCAATCGCGGCCTCGTACTATGTTGGAACGTTAATATTGAAGCCATGTTTCCAGGATAAACAACATATCAGATCAGACCATCTACTCCGATCGTATATTCTCTCTTTTTATTGCTAAGTTATTCCTGCGATGCCCTCCCTCTTCGACATTCCCAAGGAACTCCGTGACTACATCCTCGAACTTGCGCTCACCACCGACCTCGCGCTGCCCGCCAGTCTTGCCACGGCGTCGCAGGACCGGGTTACCTTTCTCAAAGACATCAGTTATGACGCGTGGGACTATGGCCCCAAACACATCAAGTACGACCACCGCAATCAGGCGACTACCAGTCTGCCTCTCCTCCTGGTCAACCGCCGGCTCTCTGCCGAGGCCAAGGCCGTGCTGAAGCGTCTCCGGAAGATGGCATACAGCATCGACGTGATGTACGTCGATGACCGGGAGCTATGGCCCACCTGGCTTTGTGTGCCCGCGCTCTTCTCGACCCGCGTCGACCATGTGGTCGCCACGTTCCGGGCGTTCAGCACGGGGGAGATCTACGTAGGTACGAAGTCTGGGCTTTTCGCAGGCGACGGTGCACCGGAGCAGATTGTGTGGTGTTTTTACGGCCTGATGGAGTGGTTCCTAAAGTGCGGACCGGTAGGCAAGCAACAACGACGACGAGGAGGGGAGGGCTCGCAGGAGAAGGACGGGGGCGTGATTGCGCAGGTCTTGACCCTGGACTGTGTAACGCCTCCGGACCCGAGTACGCTGCCGGCCCCGGAAGTGACATATGGGGACTGGATACGGCCTTGGGCCCGTCCCTACTTGCCTGTCCGTGGCAGCAAAGAACCGCCCAAGGGTGTTATGCGTCCCGAATGGCTGGCCAGATTCATTATCGGTAAGATCAATATGCTCCTTGACATGAGCTACCATACAGCGTATTACGGGAGGATCATGTACGAGCGGATCGGCGTCATCCGGGTCTGCGTGGACGGGAAACTGGAGCGCGAAATGAATCTGGCCGAGAGACTGGCCAAGCTTCGAAAGGAGGGTCCGTCGGACACCTTCGGCAATGTGCTGCGGGAAGATCGCCAGAGAGTCTTCTGGCAGTGGAAGAAGAGAGCGCTGGAGAAACGGCGGGAGGCGGGTCTTCCTGTCATTTTTCCTGATGACCCGGATTTGTCGAAGTTTGGATAAGAAAACGATATCTCTCCATTTCACACGCTGCATGAAGGAATAGAAGATGGTGAATTGTTTTCCGTCAGCCGACCGCAGAAGACAGCAAAGAGGAGCAATCTCAGCACGCAAAAGAGAGAAAGAAAGAAGGATGCTCTGCCCTCATACCCGAGAATTGGATAGAAAGGCATTATACCCAGAGTCCTACCTACCTGTTAGAGCTTAGAACAATCTTCTTGATGCCCTCATCATAGCTATCGAAGAATTGGAGAATCGTCACCGAGAACTAGTCCAAATCCAGGTAAGGGATCATATTGCGGACTTGTCTCGTCAGACATAAAAGAGAAGCACTTTTTGATAGCTTCGTCTGAAGCTGAAATCTAGACTGATAGGTTTACCTCAGGAGTGATGTCACATCCAGTCTTAGCTGCTGGCCAAGCAATGTTCTAAGAATATTGTAGTCAAAGACTATGGCTTAGGGCAAGATAAGCTTTTCTATGCCTTGCTTGGTCATGGCAATGGCATGATTCGTCCCTTGTAGACTGTTTACAGCTGGTAGATTACTGCATGTCAAATTCTAAATTAAGCACGAGGCATTGATTCCCTGCGGGGCTGTGCTGACCTTTTACCTCTTTCGGATATACTTTTCCACTTCCGGAATGACGATAACGCGGCAGGAAAGTTCTATGTTCTGATCGGGACTAGCGCGTGGCTGAGTGCGTTTTTTACATGCCTAGTTAGGAAACACATGCGCACCTACATTCCTGATCAGGAAGTACATACATCTCTTACTGCCAATAACCTTGTTATTATTATCAGCAGTCTTCTTCCTCGTGGCTCCGCGGCGATCTGATAGGCGCAAGATGACGCCCGTTTCGTTTCAGCGCGGGGCGACACGCGCGAGTCGATTCGATCCGCCAGCATCCCGGCGATCGCTGACAGCCACGCTAAAACAGACCAAACGCCATCTTCTTTCGTTTCAAGCAATCTTATTCCTTATCGCGTGCTGCTTACCTTGGTTCATCCTGCGTAATTATTGGATCTTGATCTGATGCCAACCGTTAGAAAGAAACGGGCAGTTCGTTGCCAACGTGCTGCGGCCCGCTGGAATACGCAGGCGCAGTCGAGCTTACAAAAATACGCCATCTCAGTTAATTGCTCGTGGGTTGCGTCTATAAAAGGTCGATGATATCCAGCAAGATGGGAGCAGAATTCGACGATCAGCAGCCTCTTCTGATCAACACCTGCTTCTACTAAGAGTTCCTTTCTGCTGAGATATCCATCTCTGTATCAAGATTCTAATCCATTGACTCTCTATCTATACACCAACATGCGCGTCATCTTTAGCGTTGCTGCCCTCAGCCTCTCCTACCTGGCTGCAGCCTCGCCACTGCCTCGATCCTCCAGCCCGTTCCCCTTGAAGGACGGCTTCCCAACCCCAACAAGACCGAACTGCAACAGATCGAGCTCAGGGCCTTTGGCACCTTGCCCAACGGTCCTCCGCCGGCCAATATCAGCCGCGACGGAATACTGAACCTGCAGCTCATTGCCTTCAATGAGCTGTTCGAGGTCGCCTTTTTCGACAGCCTGATTCACAACATCACGACCAATGTGTCTGGGTTTGAGGTCAAGAACGCCAAGTCCCGCGAGCTGCTTCTCAAGGCGCTTGAGGCGGCGAAAGCTGTAAGCAATGACACCAAATACTCTCCTTGGAGAGGACAATACTGACAACGATAATAGCAAGAAGAGCTGCACGCCTTGAACGCCAACAACGCCCTCCAGGCCTTCACCGGCCAGCCGATCCAGCCCTGCCGGTACAAATTCCCGTCCACGGACCTCGACTCGGCCATCACCCTCGCGGGAACCTTCACGTCCGTCGTGCTGGGCACCCTGCAGGACGTGATCCAAGTCTTCGCCAAGAACGGCGACGTCGGCCTGACGCGGGCCGTCGCGTCCGTCGTCGGCCAGGAAGGCGAGCAGGAGGGCTTCTTCCGGCAGCTGCAGGGCAAGGTGCCGAACGAGCTGCCGTTCCTGACGACGAGCACGCGCGACTTTGCCATCAACGCGCTCAACCAGACCTTCATCGTGCCGGGGTCCTGCCCCAACATCCAAGTCATCCAGGGCCTGAAGGTCTTCGAGCCCCTGACGCTGCTCAGCAAGCCCGAGGCCAAGACGGAGCCCATCCAGTTCAGCTTCGAGACGACCGATACTACGAAGAATATGGAAGGCTTGAAGCTCGTCTACGTCAACCAGCAGAACCTGCCCATCGTCGAGGACTTCACCGTCGTCAAGACTGAGGGTTCGACCGTCACCATCGAGGCGACTTTCCCTTACGACGAGAACGAGCTCAACGGTCTGACCATTACCACGGTGGTAGAAGGTGCCAGCGGCTCAGGCAGTAACTTCACGGATGCGCAGGCTGTCGCTGATGCTACCAAGTTTGGTCCTGCTTTGATTATCGTCAACTAAAGGACGATCGAGGACAATCAATAGTATATATTATGAAGAAATGACTATTTCTTTGCTTTTTCTGCGTCTTTTTTTTTTGTCTCGTATTTTCCCATTTTCATTCTGATGTTTCTTGGCCATGTACCTACCTACCTCCCCACCTCCCTACCTCGCATTTAGAGACTCGACACGATGTTCTTGTCAGTTATGTGATATGAGTTGCACGTTACACATAGATATACTGCATATATGGGTTCTTTTTGTGTCTTGTGTATGTCATGTTTAGGGAAAAAAAAACACAAAGAGAAGAATAGTATGCAATGATACTTTGTCTTAATACATACGTAGCTATAAATAGGCCATTTCTGAGTAATGACAGACATGGACATAAATATTCTTGTTCGTTTCGAATAACTCGTCTCTATTTATATCATTCCTAGCTAGCATCTGCATCTGCTACCGCAATCCCTGCAATTCCTGCTCCACCTCCGCTTTGACAATCTCGCGCACCCCCTGCCAGCCAACTCCCGCGCCCACAGGCGTCACCCGGCTCTCCTTCTGCTCCAGCCCGACAAACTCCTGCGGCAGCACCTCGGCAAAGTCGTAGCCGTCCTGGCCGCGCAGGGCCAGGTCAACCGCGTTCGCGAACTTGGCCGGGTGCGCCGTCGACAGCGAGATGTGGCTCGTCCCCGGGTTGCGCTCCACGGACCGCAGCGAGGCTGCCACGCCCACGGCCGAGTGCGGGTCGAGAATGTACCCGCCTGTCTTGGAGCTGTGCGCGCTGCCGCGCCCCAGGTTGGGAGGGAAGCACGAGGTGTAGATCGCCCGGATCGTCTCGATGGTCTGCTCGTCGCTGACCCGCTCGCTCTCGAACTCCCGCTTGGCGCCCTCGAACACGGCTTCAGTCACGCTGAAGCCGCCTTGCGTCTTGAGCTCGTTCAGCCAGGTTCGGATGCGCTCGCTGGCGTTGCGGCGCCTCTCGTCCACCGACGCAGAGCCATCCGCTTCGAAGGTCAGGAACCAGAGCAGCCGCTCAAAGTTGCTGCTGACCAGAATGTCCATTGCCGGGCTGTGCGTCTCCTTGACGCCCTGCGCAGCCGGGCCGTTGAGCGGCGACTTGGTGTAGTGGCCCCCGCTCTTGAAGAAACGGTCCAGGATGTCGTTCTCATTTGTGGCAATGACCAGCTTCTCCGCTGGAAGACCCATCCGCTTGGCGAACCACCCCGCCAGGATATCACCAAAGTTACCCGACGGGACCACGAAGCGGACCTTGGAGCCCTGTTGGAAGCCCGGGGATTTCGTCAGGGTGAAATAAGAGTAGAAGTAATATGTCATCTGGGCGAGAATTCGGGCCCAGTTGATCGAATTTACCGCCGCGACGTTGTGCGTGGAATTGAGGTCCGGGTCGGCAAACAGCGACTTGACGATGTCCTGGCAGTCGTCGAAAGAGCCCTCGACGGTGAGGTTGTGGACGTTCGAGTCGAGAACGGTCGTCATCTGGGCCTGCTGGATCGGCGAGACCCTGCCCTTGGGAAACAAGATGAAGATGGACACATCTTTCTTGCCTCGGAGTCCGTAGATGGCCGCTGAGCCCGTGTCTCCGCTCGTGGCGCCAATGACCGTGAGGTGGTGGCGGTCCTTCCCTTGTTTGCCCTGATTCTTACGGACGAGGAAGTATTCGAAGAGGTTTCCGAGGAACTGCAGCGCGACATCCTTGAACGCGAACGTCGGGCCATGGAACAGCTCGAGCAGATAGAGATTTCGTGTCCGGTCCAGCTCGACCAGCGGGGTCCTTTCTGGGTGTCGGAATGTGGAGTAGGAGCGGCGGATGATGTCTTTCAGGTCTTCAGGAGGAATTTCGCTCGGAGAGACGTAAAGGGAGACGATCTGAAAGGCCAGATCTTCAAAGCTGAGGTTGCGCCAATCCGACTCCCACGAGGCGGGGACAGACGGGATCTGTTCGGGGACGAAGAGACCGCCATCGGAGGCCAGGCCTTTCAGGACGACATCTTCAAAGGAGAGCTATCAAACCGGAAGACGTGTCGTTAGCTGTGTCCAGGGATTGACATTGCATCTGACTCACTCCATACTCGGAACCCCTCGTGCTGAGGTAGCGTTGCGAGGCTGGATGCGTCATTGGCGAGGTGGTTTTCAATCGAAAGAAGCTCAATTGACGGAAGATCAGTGAAATCAGACACAGACTGAACTGCGTCTGAGAAGAGACTCGATCTACGAAGCCCAGCAGGCGGGGATACGCATGTCTGCCATGAAATTTCTGGGGCGTGACTCCGACGCCGCATGCCCCTCGTCCCGATCGGGCTTAGCGCGTGCCGACAACGGCGCCGTTCTACAGCGCTCTGATTGGTCCAGCGATCGCGCCACGTGCTGACAGGGAAACGAACAACTATACTCCGTACGGAGTACTCCTCTATTAGTAACTACATCTAATCGTCAACCTATCTACATGACAGCTCATATGGGTATGAATGCAGCAGAAACGGTGTTTTCAATCACAGAGAAGGCTTCGTCACGTGTTGCTCGTTGACCAGCACGTAGCGGTACCGCGCCCGGCCTTTCTCCATGTCCACAATGGCCTGGTTCGCGTCCTTCATCGAACGCTGCTCAACCCACGGGTGGATGCCCTTCTCCGCAACAAAGTCGAGCATCTCCCGGATCTCGTGGGGGCTGCCAATGAAGGTACCTCCAATCTTGAGGTTAGAGCGCAGGACTGTGAAGACCGGCATGCCCAGGACTCCAGCATCGGGAAGGCCCACCTGGATGAAGTGGCCCCCGTAGCGGAGCAAGGAGAGGTAGTCGTTGATAGGCATCTGGGTAGATGGCATGGTTAGCGAGAGCCTCGATTGCCTGCTGGACAGGCTACGTACCTTGTCAGACGAAACGGTGCAGATGATGAGGTCCAGGGACCGCGCGTGGGTCTTTGCCCAGTCAGGCTCGTCTTCAGTCGCAATGTAGACGTCTGCGCCCAGCTTCAGAGCATCAGCTGCCTTGCTGGCCCTGCGCGAGATAGCAACCACCTTGTCGGCTCCGAGAGCCTTGGCGAACAGCACGGCAAAGTGACCCAGTCCGCCAACACCGACAACACCCACTTTCTTTCCAGGGCCGCAGCCGTTCTGCTTCAGGGGGCTCCAGACGGTGACACCACCGCAGAGCATGGGGGCTGCTTCCTCCGACGGGATAGCATCGGGGATCTTGAACACAAAGTGTCCCGGAGACCGGTTGTACAGGGCATATCCACCCATCGACTTGGCGCCGTTCAGGTGGTTACCGTTGTATGTCGGCACAAAGTGTTTCATGCAGTACGCCTCTTTTCCCATGGCGCACTCTTCACAGTCGCCCTTGCGGCCCAGGCAGGAGTCGGCCTGGGCGCCGACACCAACACGGTCACCGACCTTGACGTGACTCACCTGGGAACCGACGCGCACCGCAATGCCGACGATTTCGTGGCCGACGCAGCATGGGTAGTTGGTAGGGGCCTGTCATGATCAGCAACCTGACCGTTTAGGCAGTACGATACACACAAAGGCAGAGATACTTACCCAGCCGCTTCGCAGAGTGTGCAGATCTGACCCGCAGATACCGCAGTGAGTGATCTTGATGTCGACGTCGGTCTCCTCCCAGGGCTTGGGCTCGAACTCCTTCCACACCATCTTCCCCTCAGCGGAGCTGGCGTCGAGGCCAAGCCAGCCCTCGAACTTGTAGTCGGTTGCAGACATTTTGACAGCTATTTTCGAGGATAAGCTTCAGACGATTTCCGCGTTGCTGCTATCGGCGCAGTACCTTGGGGGCGTCTGGCCAGGGTTGATATCGAGGGATATATATATGGAACTGATCCCTCCACTTGCACACCGCCATCTTATTAATCTAATCTCCCTAATTGTGGTGCAAAGAATGCTCGGGATCTCGACAGAAGAGTGGCATGGTGGGTCCGACGCACTGATAGACGGATCCATCGATGGATTAGGTACTGTACACTTGAGGATATCCTGAAACGGCATCACTACAAATCAAATCAATCCCAAGTCAGTTCAAGGCCTGAGGCTTCCTAGGGTTGCTACCATATCAACAACGGACTTTCTCTCCAAGCAGAATCAAAACCGAGCATCATGGTGTCTTGCCGGTCGTTGGATATCATTCGCGGGGTTCTGCCATGCGCAATTCCCGAGACTGAGGTTCGACGGTTCTGCAGGACAGAAACGGGAAACGGCAAAGGGTTCCATTAAGTAAGCTCCATATAGATCCGTGTCCACCCATTGCCAGCCAGTAGCAGACATCGAAATGAAGAGGATTGGCGCCCGGTATGCCGAATCTTACCCGACGCTGTGAAGAATTGACGTCGACTCGTGGGTCCGTCCACTGCAAGCCACCCGTTTCCAAACCTCGTATCAGGATTAAATGTAAGAAAATTCTCTTTTGGAAAAACAGCCCCTCGCCAGCACTCAGCCAGCTGAGACAAAGGAACCATTCATTGCGAAGCATGACATCAGTCGGTAAGCCGGTACCTAGGCGCGGAGTGGCTTGTTGCAATTGAGTTTTTTGGATGTCGTCCGCGCCACAGCCAATGGCAATGCGGCATTGCGCACGATGTATAAAAAAAATTTTTGCCCCTCTTCCAAAAGTTCCACTGACTCCAAGTCTCCACGTAAGAAGTACCTTTTTTTGTTTCTGTCCTTTCTCTTTCGCCCGATATGGACTTTATCTCCTATCTCCATTGTCTCCATAGTCATGATCTCATGCACGCTGTGGCCCATCCGTTTAGTAATCATCTTCGGATAGTTATAAAACAAGGAGTTAAAATAAGGAACGAGGTACTTTCCGTCCTCCGTAGTGGGGTGATTATTATTTATTAACAATTTCCCTGACAACGAAATAAAGTTTCTCTGTGGCTGAATTGGACGCTGTTAACGAACGAGGAGCTGCCAAGTATGTACGGCGTTCTCCGGATGTAGGTACGCCATACCTAAAAACAAGAGACTTATCCCCGAATTGGCAAATATGTACAGTACTGTACATAGGTCCGTGTGTCTGGAAAATTGGTCAAACCAAACGAGTGTCTTCTCTTGCTTCAGGCCCAAGCGTTTGTATTATCTATTTGTCTATTAGGTGCACAGACGCAGATCAGCAAGAGTGTGTACGTTGTAAATAGGAAGTTGCGGGGATTTCACTATATAAGACGGACAGAGTGTATTGTCTGTCCAGTTTGCTATACAGACCTAATAGAGAAATTGAGGAATACAGCATTATCGCTAGATACCACAGACTGTACAGTCAAACTCGATAAGATACAAATGTACAGTACACGTGTATGTAACTCAATCAACTACATGTAGTAACTATATGCACATGGTATTTTATTTAGTGCGGGGTATATCTAGAAGCAGAGCATGGTTCTTGTTCATATGAACTACTACACCTCTGTGCATTCCATGCCTAGTATAATAAGAATTCCTTGTTTCCCTTTATGCATTCTATTATATGATATATCTATCGCAGGTATATACTCGTGAATGGGTAATAATGACTCGAAGATACCTAGGTAGCATCACATCACATGCCAACCGTCGGGCAACTTCTCTCACTACTTTCTCCAGATTTAATATTTATCACTTAGCATGGGCCTCCAGGGTTAGTAAAGATTAAAATTTAGTTTGGTGGGGTGAGTAGTATACAGTATTAGTTGACACTTACCAAAGTTTGACACTTTAGCATAGTAGTACGATAGGATGCAGACATAGAAGTGGTTTTTGGCATAGACTACTCTCCTACTACTTTTTGACATGGGATGCCACGTATTAGCTTACATCAAGCAGGGTCAGCCAATATTACGTACCTTACCTAATTTTGGTGTCTTGTCAATACCACTGGCGTAGAATACCACAGTTTTATTTATTTAGTATCTGACAACAAGCGCACTTTGGCATGGAAATACCATATTTTAGAATAAGATGCAACAACTAGTAAGTAGCTTCTATCGTATAAGGACCAGACGAAGTGAAATTTTGACACATTACCCGATTCTGGGCTATTATAAAGCCAGGATAATTATTGGCTGGCTCATGTGACTTCTTCACAGACAGCATCGATGATTTCTCCTTTTTGACTCTTTCGTTGTCTAACAACTACTCTCGCACTATTACTCAAAAAAAAACATGCCGCATGCTCGTCTTGGAGTATATCTCGCCAGAGAGACTTTTTTTCAAGCTGGGACATACAAAACATTGCATGCTTTGTTTTTACCTGATTTCTCTGACCAATCTGATCTGTATCCAGAAAACAATTAGTTCTTTGTTTGTCTGCTTGTTGACTTTTGTTTTCAGAGTCAAGTTTAGTCAGTGTCCTTCCTTATCGATGAGAAATGGCTGGCCCATTGAGAAAAGTCCCACGTCACTCAGAGTCAATTCTCTGCTGTTATTGAGAGGAAGGGTTTATCATCTCAACGATGCGTTCAACTTGCTCGAAAAGATCATACATATTAATATGTTGCTTTTGCCTTGGCAAATCCAGCGAGTTTGGTGGTGTGACGAGCTTCCAAACTTGAGCCTCAGACCGTGTTACCTGAAAGCTCGAACGTGAGGCTTTTTCGGAGTATTTATCCATCTCTTCCTAGCTGAGAGGCACAAGCAGGGTTAGCCTAGATTAGTCTTCCAGCCAACGGTCCCATGACAATATTGATGTCGACGACAATGACAGTCCGAATCTTGGTGTTGAAATGGATTGTTCACACACATACTGTACTGTATCTTGTGTAGGTATGTTGCGCAGAGACTTTCCTTCAGAACTGGACTGTTGAATTCTATCTAGGGCTAGTTCGGCAGACCACTAGTCTGCGGATATTTGCATCAAGGTTGCATGTTGAAGCAAAACCAACAAAGAACAGTTCACTGCAGGCAATTAATAGATCGAACAGGCTGTGACTGACTCACAGAGAAGATAGAACAACGACAATTACAGCTGGATTGGCGATGTGATCTGGACTGCGCCACTGGAAGCCATTGCCCTGCAGGATTCAGGCAGCATGCAACTAAACGTGTTGTGTTACACTGACGATGGCACGGCTGCCTGCTTGAAAGATTCAACATTCCTACCCTGTGACAGCTAACCACTACACAGCTCCAGCTGCTTCGCGCAGAATGTCGCTCCCACTGCCTCGCGATGCCGTCCCCTTGCTCAAACCAGGTTATTCCCAATTGCTGGACCTGGTCCACGATGTTGCTGGCATCGACCCCATGACGCTGGTCAACATCGGCCTGGTCATTGTCGGACTGTTCACTTTTCTCGGCTATGCTCTCGGCTACATCTACAAGTACGTCCTGGACATGGCCGGCTCGACTGTCCGGATCGACGACGAGGATCCGCTGTACCAGCACGTCATGCGCTGGATGGCTGATCACCAGTTCTTGAACCGCCAGTTCCGCTCTGTCCGCGCCGTCAGCACCTCCAAGAGCTCGTGGGAAGATGAGGAGGAGGCACTCAAGTCGATGATCGGTGGCCAGCATCTCACGGAGCCTGATCCCAACAACCTCATCAGCTATCGCTCCATCGTCGGACGCACCCCGATCAGTCTCCAGCCCTTCCAGGGCACCCATCTATTCCGTCGTCACGGCAGCTGGATCCTCTTCAAGCACCGCGTCAACTCGGGCATCCAGCTCATGCCGCTGCCCAAGGAGCGCGGCTACATCCTGCTTCAATGCCTGGGCTTCTCCACCGCACCCCTGCAGCGCCTGATGGAGGAGGCGCAGCTGTACAACCTCGAGCGCAGCATGACCACAACCACCATATTCCGCGCCATCAGCAACGTCCGCGACATCGTGCGCTGGTCCAAGTTCAGTGCCCGGCCGTCACGCGACATCTCCACCGTTATCTTCGACAAGGCGAAGAAACAGGCCCTGCTCAAGGACATCAACGAATACCTCCACCCGCACACGCGCCGCTGGTACGCAAACCATGGAATCCCCTACCGTCGTGGCTATCTGTTCTCAGGCGCACCGGGCACAGGCAAGACGAGTCTCACGTCAGCTCTGGCGGGAATCTTCGGGCTCGATATCTACGTCCTCAGCCTGCTGGACCCCAATCTGAGCGAGTCGCAATTGATGCGACTCATGTCAGAGATCCCACCGTGCTGCATCGTCCTGTTGGAGGACGTCGACGCGGCCGGTCTCACACGTCCGGACAACGGCGATTCCTCGCGAGGGTCAAGAATCTCGCGGAGAAGAGGGCCAAGTATTCAACTGGACGGAACCGATCCTATGAGTTTGATCCAGCCAGCTGCGAATGGAAACAGCAGCAACAACAATGGACCCGCTCCCAGCGTGTCAATCTCGTTGTCGGGCCTATTGAACGCCATCGACGGCGTGTCGTCACAGGAAGGCCGCATTCTCATCATGACCACCAACTCGCCCGAGGCGCTGGACAAGGCGCTTGTCCGCCCAGGACGGGTCGACATGCATATCGTCTTTGAGCTGCCGTCACAGGAAGAGATGCGTGAGCTGTTTCTGAGCATGTACAGTGAAGGTCCGAGGGAGAGTACGGCAACAACAGCATCTATACCATCACCAATGTCTAATGGCAATGGCATCTCGCCTCTTGAAAAGGACGTGGAAGCGGACCTAGACCTGGAATATCTAGCCCAGCAATTCGCCGCCTCGATCCCCGAGAAACGACTGAGTCTGGCAGCTCTGCAAGGTTTCCTTCTCCAGTACAAAAGACGTCCTCGAGAGGCGTGTGAAAAGGCTGCAGCTTGGGCCGAACAAGCCTTGCAGAAGACAGCACAGGAAGACGAGCAGCAGGAGAAAGCTGTTCAATGAATTATGGTATCAATACCGATGATGACAACTGCATAGATAAGGGCGCAAAGAGTGGGGCGTTCATTCACATCTTACTGCAACGATCCTCTGAGACTATTGTCAATCAGATCAGACTGCAATAACAAGAGTATTAATGGTCACTATTCTGTATCTATATTTAATGAAGATAAAGAATAAACAATAAAAAAATTTTTTTTCGTACGTTATATATATATCCGCTTCTAAGCTAGGATATATAATGATATGTCCATGTCCAGGATTGCCAGCCAAAATATATTCTGGCATTCACCTACTTTTTTTTCTATTTGCTTGGTACATGCCACATACACGATAGAGCTTCATTTGCCATGAGTTGAGATGCGTTTTCACTGCTAATCCCAAGTCGTTGGAACTTTGGGATATTTCTTCGCGTCCATGCCCAGGTCTTCGTAGACACTGTGATCACCTGGAGTCGAAGTTCATCAGTGAACCTGTTTCGTTGCGATCACCTGCAAAGGTTTGGAGGACTCACCCTTCAGTGATTCGATCCGTCCTAGATTTTCATCTTCGAACTTTTCAAGCACCTCGCCTGGCTGCTCCTGATTAGGCTCCTTGCCACCCGCTTCAGAGATACCGCCCTTGCCCAGGTTGTCTTGCGCCTCGCCGATCATTAGGAACTGGGCATTCGGATAGTCCAGAAGCTCTGGCTCTGCGGGCACCCATCGAAGGTCAGCGAATTTTTCCATCACACTGTCATCGTCAGCCCTTTCTGCAGTGTTCTCGAATAACAAATCGACGTCTGTCTTACTCTTTCGGATACTCGGGATCCTTGGGCAGTCGTGCATAAGATGGACCCGGATACTTGGGGTTCTTCGATTGGATGATAAAGCTGCCGCGATTATACAGACCAAAATCTTGCTGGATATCGCTGACTTCGGAGGGAATCGTGAGAATATACGCGAGATGCGAGGCCCGAGTTGTCCTTGTGATGGCATAAACGCCCTCTGCGTATGGCTTCGCTTCGGGCGTTGTGCGTCCCCCACGCGTCTGCGTCTCATAACGCTCTTCTGCAATAAAGGTCTCTCGCAGAGTTTGCATTGAGACTTTCGCTTTCGCCACGAATCCCATCTCCCTTTCGCTACCCGATGTTGGAAATCTCTTCTTCGGCAGTATAAGCAACCGACAATTATCATCACTACCAATGGGTCCGTCTTCCAGCTTTGCACCGCGTGGCGTCGGTCGCATGACGAATAAACTGCGCGCAACGTCGCCAAAGCTGTGCGGTTCCTGCACATTGACGCGAGGACGCAGGAAGAAGTAGATAATACCCTTCTCAAGCAGATTGGAGGGAACGATCTCCTCCCTTTTGGGGGAGTCTCTGACAGCAGTGCCAGCACCATTAGGGGCAGCTGACTCTTTCTGAGCAGTCTCTTGCTCGGAAGGAGCTGGTTTCTCTTCGGTTCCTACGGCGCAATCAACCACAATTTTCCTGAATTGAGCCCGAAGCAATCTTACCATTGGGAACTTCCTTTTCTGGACGTTTCTCTTCGGGCTTCTCTTCAGGCTTTCTTTCCAGGGTCTCTTCAGGAGTCTTTGGACGCTGATCTTGTGGTTCCTCTGCAGGCTTTTCAGCGGGCCTTTCTTCAGCCTTTTCTTCAGGCCTTTCCTCAGGCCTCTTTCACGCCTGTCTTCAGGCTTCTCCTCCGGCTGTTCTTCGGGTCTTCTCTCGAGGGTTTCTTCAGCTGTCTTAGGACGCTGGTCTTGTGGTTCCTCTACGGGCTGTTCCTCCGACCACACTTCCGGAGCCTTTTGTTCCAACGACCCCTCAGTCACAGTCGGTTGCTTGTCCTCCCCTTTCTCCTTGGTCTCCTCATCTTTCTTTTCTCTCTTCGAAGCTCGTCCTTTCGTCGATGCTCCCCTTCGTTTCGAACCAGCTGCGCCTTGGGAAAGAGCCTGATTGGCCTTCACCGCGGCTTGGCGTGTGGATGCCCTAGTGGTGACCATTTTGGGACAGTTAACGGGGAGTATTCGAGGTCGATGTGACAGGACAAAAAGAAAGGGGCGCACTGAAAGCATTTAACATGCTGGAGACTTGAATGGAGGCGAGTGAAGAAAACGCTGCCAGTCATACGAATGGCACCTCCATGAGGGATGCCTGACGTCACACCTGTTTGTAAGGAACGTTTCATTTGATTATATAAGCTTATCGTCAAACGCAGCAGTAGATATATAATCACGTGATGATAGTGTTGATTGCAGGATGGAGATAGGTGCTATTAGCAATAACACTGAACGTGTCTAGCCGGCATCTAGCCGTCAATCTATCTCCATCTGGTCACTCGCTGACACACTGTTGGTAGGATATCCTGCTGACTCTATGCCACCAGCTTCGGGAGACAATCGCGCAGAGCTGGAGCCAGTCTTTGCACGGAGATCATGGGCGCCAGGCGAGAGAGCACTGCGGACCGTCGTGAGGTCTTCCCCCGACCTTCTACTCCTCCTCCGCATTCTCTTGGGACTGGCGAATGGACCCTCCGGCCGCAGATCAACATCCTGTAGCCTCATTTCAGAGGCTGTCCTCTGAGGGTTCTGGTATAGCGCCGATGCGCTGGCAATCTTCCGTTTTCGTCCACGTTTCTGCTTCGGCAAAGGCTGGAAGTCATTGCTGTCTGAGTCGCAGCAGAGACCTCGCAGAGAATTGACCAATTCGGTTTGCCAATATTCTGCAGAATCCAATAACTTTGGAGTCGTGGGCCTTGTTGATGCAGATGTAGGGGTCTGGTCTGCATCATCGTCCGGCTCTTCGATAGCATATGGGCGGACCACTTCCACATCGGCATCATATCCAGGGTCC